TCTCATGTGCTGCTTAAAACCATGTCTTGTTTATCTCAATTTTCCTCATTGTGCTTCTACTCTGCTTGAACAAACCCACTTCCTTCAGAAAGTCTAAAAAAAGCCTTTGGGCTCCATTAACACAAACTGGCAGAATCCAACCTAGGATCTGTGTGATGCCTATTACTGTGACCTAATGACCATGTCACAGTAACTAAGTGCAAAAGAACTCTTTATAAACTGTCATAATAATGCATTTGATAGCTACAACATTAAGGTTAAGTCATACAAATATTTTATCCTATTCAGCCTTTACCCTATTTAATGACCCTCAAATTCCAACAACAGAGGGGTTTTCTAATGGATGCAGAGAAATGACAAGAAGCTTGGCATCAACCTGGGGCTGAACACAGCTGAAAGCTGGGTCTCCTCATCAGAGCTCTCAAAGCACATGTTATTATTAAAGAGAAGGATATCGTATCAGTAATAGTTTTTAAGACAGTTCTTAGCCACTCTCCAGCCAACTCAGTGACACAGTGCAATCAAATAGACTCCAAAGAACATCTTGAGCTTTACTTCAACATTTAATTCCTGGTGTCTGAAGAGAAGTTATGAATAGCACATTGTTCTGCTCTGCCTTCCACCAGAGTTTCTAGGTTAACCTCCTCACATCCTATGCCAGTATCTCCATTTTGCAGATGGGTTGGAAAAGCATGCAGATGAACCAAATGAATTGGATGCTACAGATAAGGAAATGAGATCAAGGCAATTGTTCCTCAGGTTTTAAGGGAAATTCAGGTTCTATTTTTAGCTCCACCAAATCCTCCAGTTCCAAAAAGTAAAAGCTTGCCTTCCTCCTCTGCCATAGTATTAGTGCCAATGTTTTGCCTGGTATGATCCCTAGATAAGACTCAGATTCCTCTCATATTTCTTGGTGGTACAGCACAACATGTGTCCTCCTTTTTACTGTGGGATTTTCCATTAGTCTAATTCTCTTAAGTTTCTTCCATGAAATCAGAGAGGGAAAGATCTTCAAAAGCTTTACAAGCTTTTTGTATTATAGCACTGTTAGAAAACCGTGTTACTAAACCCTTTAATTATTAACACATGCAGAACTGACGTGTACATGGTGCCTTAGAGGGGAAGAGTGCGAACAGTTTGAAATCTTGCACTCCAAAGTACGTAGGAAAAAAGTACATGAAAACCTTCCAGTTAAAAGGAGGTGTGGAGATGGAAATGATGAATGTAAGGACTGCCAGTGGAAATTTTTGGCAAGCTGCAAAAGAGTAAGATGAGGTGCACCTTGTAAATTAGGATCATGACTCCAAATAGTAAGGGCAGCACAAATGAAAACATGTATGAGAGTGTAAAACGAAAGAAACCCCACTTTTATTATAAGTTGTGACTATGGAAACAGGAAGAGGTAGAAACTTGTTATCTCTCTATGAAGACTTCATTCTCAAAAATAAAAGGAACTTTAAATGATGAGAGAGGAGGGGAACAGATGGTAGTCATCATTTTCTATCAAATAACTGCAACACCAAAAGGATGTGCCAGAGTAAACATGTAACAAGAACAATTCTTGCTACTTCATCTCTCTCTTAATAATAACTAAATATTTAAGTCCCCTTTGGATTTAAGGGCTTCATCTAGAGAAGTGCACTACCTGTACCCACCAGCTGAGAGCTATTAACACTCCTCATAAAGCAGGCAAGAGGACCAGGTCCTTTAACAGAGCTTTATTTTTGATTCATAATATTACAGCCATTTAACCTGAGAGAAAGACTCCTATTAGACAGCAAAGCACACCCAGGGTACAGATGTAGCGGGCAGCCAGGGCATGCATAAAAACTGGTAGAGAAACGGTTCTGTGCCTTTGTTGCAGAGTTCAAAAGAAGGAAAAAAAGTTCACAATTGACTGCTGGGTGCAATAAATACAAGAGCTGCTTGAGGTAGAGAAAGAACGCAAATAAAAGCTTGCCGAGCCTTTACTTGTCTTGCAGGCTACACCTCATAATCCCCAGCAGAGATGTTTCCAAGGAAAGTTGGAGGAGCGTTGGAGAACAGCTCACTTTCCAGGCAAGAAACCTAGAAAAAAGCTCCTGTTCTTCACTCCATAAACACAATCACAGATCATTTCCTCATTCTGGCCAATGCACTGGAAGACAGCAGCATACACTTAACAAAAACAGCAACTCACGAAGTGTGGCTACTGTGAGTCCCACAATAATATTCCCAGCCCTGCCAATCAGAAAGTACTTATTCAATAAAAATGCGCTTAAAAAATATCAAAGCTGATAATGCAACTAAAACCCAAACAACAAAAGAAAACCCTGTAAAACTCAGGGTATATTAAATCTGTTGTATTAACCATCCTGCTAAGTCCAGCATGACCAAGATACTACAGCAAATGCCACAGCAGAAGTAGATTTTTGTGCTTTATTATTTATGTAAATACGCATTTACACACACAAATTATGCTTTCAATTAAATAATGTGTCAGCCCAGAGGAAGAATCCAGGACTTTTTCAGTAGCAGTATTCAGAAGGGGAGAAGGTATTTTGAACATTATAAGCAAATGAAAGCTCTTCAGAGAGAAGCAAAACGCTCTACTTTCCAAGTGACTTTTCTTTAGGGGCTTGCACAGTATTTAGAGATCCATTTGCCACATTTGGAACTTGCACATTAAAGAAGACTGCCCTGGTTGTGGAACTGTGTGTTGCATGAAAAAATAACCCCTTTTCCAGGCTCAACCAAGCTGTGCACACTCTGCCCCAAAGGTAAGGCTTTACCTCTGCTCCTCTGGCCACAAAATTTGAATGCTCCAGCTATACTCCAAGAAACGTGCATAGGAATAGGTAAGATAATCAATTCATTTTGCCTAGGGCTGTAAGCTATACTTCACCTACCACCCCCATCCCTGCTTTGCTACTTCTCCCCTGACAAATTACTTGACAGACTATTACTGAGGAAACAAGAATTTCTGGGAGTGTTAGCATTCTGGAATTATTATCCCAAACCTTTTTATTTACCTGTCTTAATTACTTAGCACAAATTCGCCATGTATATTCTACTAAGAAGCCTGAACTTGTTTCACAGTGCTTACTATACTAAAACATTGCAGTTCTATGGCTAAAATTACTGGGTAGGACTGAAAGCTTTGCTGAAACCCCAGATAAACAATCAGGCTGAAAACATGGTATTACCCTCTGGAAAGACCAAATACAAGAAGTACAGTAGATCAACAGGGGAGGTAAAAAGGCTTTTTGAATCACCCAGTAATCCAAAATCCTATTTTGAGCAATTTACACAGACAAATTGCATGTGGATTCTGGCTGCACTAGTGATAAAACACCAACTGTGCTCTATTTTGAATTATTTACTTCAACACCACAATTACCCCAATGAAAGAACAGAATTCAGAGGAAATAACAAGAATTTAAGGAAATCACACACAAGTTTTTATATATGAATTCAGACCGGGAAAGATACAGAACAAATTGTCACGAACTTGACACTGTGCCAGGACCTTCCCCACGAAGGTTTCAGCTCTGACAAAGATCTAATCCTTGTCCTTGGACAAATTCAACTGTGGATCGATTTCCCAAGCTGCGTAATTGCTTTTGGTGCCTATCTTCTATCGATTTTCAGTAAACATTAGCAATCTGTGCACTCAAGTCTCAGTTTCTGCTTACTTCAGACAAGAGTAATACCCATTTCGGAGCAGAAGCACAGCATCTCAAAAGAACAGTGCCAATCAAACCTGCATTTGTGGCTGTGTAAGTAAATTTGAGGCACTGGCTTCCAAGATTGATCCCATCTCGCAGGTTCACCTACAACAACTGGGCAAGTTCTCTCAGTTTAGATAAAGCTTTGCTATGGAAATAAGGGATGAGAAAGCAGCCTAATTCAATAGAACTGGAGAATTAAGCAATGTACTCGATTATGGTATGTTTTAACTGCAGGGCAAAGTCAAAATCCCATCTGAATTCTGACAAACTGAGCCAAACTTGAGGAGCAAGTGCGTCATTTGCTTGGTTCTTTGCAGATTGCTCAGTTACGCAACAAAATACGGTCATTAAACTTAAAAGGTTTTCTTCTCATCCCCAAAATGCTTGTTCAGCAAAGGGGACTATGTACATGATGCTCATTCACACAGTTTTCAGGTTTGGCAAATGATCCATGCACATAAAGTTCCATTCCATATCCCCGTTTAGAGATGAACAACAAAACCCAAACCAGTCTATTATGCCACAATAGTTAAAACCCTTACTCCTAACTAAACCAGGGAATCTGGCCAGATTCCCAATGCACACTACATAAAAGTACTCTCAGCACTGAGGCCAGCTTATCAACAACTTGACTCCGGACAAACAACCCTGGCTCCAGCAAGGAATGTAACATCCACTCTCCCCCCAAAACACATTAAGGACTTTCTGTTCCCAAAATCAACCCAAACACCCCCACCCAGCCCACCGCTACTATTCAGACTTTAATAATACCCGCTGTTAATAGCATTTTGATGCTACCAGCTGGCAGAGCGGCACACACTCTTTAAAACAACGGTATTTAAGCCCTGCAAGCACAGAACCCGCTTTCGGGGGTCCCCGCTCCCCCTCCGCATTGACTCTCTGGAGGCTTCGGCGGGAGCCGCCGCACACACCACCACCTGTGTAAGTACGGCATTCACAGGACGGCAAGCCGGGGCCGGAGCCCTCGCTTCGCCCCTTCTTCCCTCAGCGCTGTCCCGCCGAGGCACCGCTTCACCGCGGGCGGGAATTCAAACACCCCGCGGGCCCCGTTACCTCAGCCGCGGCCGCGCCGCCACACGAGCGGGGCGAAGGCTGAAACGCGGGTTCAGCGCCGCGGTCGTGCTGCCGGGAGGCTGCGGAGCGACTCGGAGCGGCTGAGGTTAAGGCACGATCCGACCGCGGAACGCGGTTTCGAGACTCTCGCCTCAGGCGACGGAGCGAGCCCGCGGGCTTCCCCTCACACCGCGCCTGGCAGCCGCCCGCCATTACCTGCCGCGGCCGGAGCCGGGACCGCCCTCGCCTCGCTGTGCTCGCCGCCGGGGCCGCCCACTGGGAGAGGGGCACGGGACCGACCAGGCCTCTGTGTCCGCAGCCCGGCGGGAGATGTAGTTCGTGTCTTGGAGGCGGGGAGCGCCGGATTGCGGCCCGGGCCGCAGCTGAGGCCCTCCGCGGCCACCTCAGCTGGGGACGGGCAAGGACGCTGCCGCGAAGGTTTTATGCGCTCGACGCCAGCCCCAGACACGGGGTTTGGAGCGCTCTGGCCACGTTCAGCACCGACCAGACACGGGTGAGTGGGGAGTGATGGGGCTCACCAGGGCTGCAAGGCACAGCTGGTCACAGAGCGCTACAGGCTGCAGACCGGTAAACACTTAAATCACCGTTGGAATGCCAGAATTCGGGCACAGCAGCTACGTGTGAGCTTCCCAAGTGGCTCCTCAACCGATCTCACCAGCACTCACAGCGCTGTAATAGGAATGAGTGAGGAAAAGCACCTGCAGATTGCTTACAGCTGCCCAGCTGCTGTCCTGTGCAGCACAGCTATGTGCCTCACGGAACACTAAGAACTCATGTACCAGGGTGCTTTTCCCTGGATTCTTCAAAGCCTGTCTTCCAAACTTGGTGAGAAAGCCCAGAGCAAGCCTCAGGAGGTCCAGCGGTAGCAACTAAGCCTATCCGTAAGTACCTAACAAGCGACTTAATTTCTTCATCAGCTCCTTGAGGGTTTTCCACCCAGTCACGGTTTTCACCTATCACTTCCCTCCCAAGTTCCAGTTTTACCTTTTCATCACCTCTGCACCACATCAGTTCTCTGTTTGCATTGTTGAAGAAGAGTCTTAAACAAAAACCTCGTGATCACAGACAATTCCCTTCACATCTCTCAACCTCTCCCATCAAACCATCCCAGTCAGCTAAGGCAGTCCTTTGCACAGAGTATGTGGTGCAGTTCTCACGCCATGTTGCTATGAGCAGCAATTAGTAGCTAAATGTAATGTTTTAAATGTCTTAAAGCAACAAGTGCATAAATCATTCTGTAAGTACAGCTTTCCTGTTTTCTTCTTCCACCCCAAACATGCTAGGTGGGAGTTTTACCCCTACTTAGGCAATTGTCTTCACCAGCAGGTCCACACAGCTTTGTTTTAGACAACAAAAGTGTTAGTAGCAACCCATCTCGCTGCTGTAGGACCACGGGGATTTCACACACATATAGATACGACTGTGTTTCATGGTAAAACATAACCTTTATAGGATGACAGAAATGCAACTGCATTATGTCACACTGTCATAAGTTTATTACAGCTACCATACAGATTCTGTGTTTGACTATTTTAGTTAATGAAAAATAACAAATAGGGGATAGAAAAAATGTTATAACAATGCCAGCTCCAAACTCTAGCTAGCCAGTAACTCCAGCCTCTCCAGCTTGTTAAAGAAGTAATTTCATACTTCATCCAGCTTGTCCCGTGTTCTTAAAACAGGCATCTTCAGTCATCCAGGCTCTCCTTAGGGCCTTCCAGTTCTTTCTTTCATGAAGCAGACAGGATAGTTCAAAGTTCCTGCTGTGGAGATGCCACTCTTATGTATATGTATGTCTTCCTGAGAGTGTTAACACTCTTAAATTGCCAATCATTAAGTACTAGTTTTTCAGCTGTGCTTTAATGGTACTGACCATAAGATGCTTCTGGTTCACAAGCAGAAGGATCTTCTTATTTGCTGAAGCCTAAGTACTTTTTTGATATCCCAAAAACTATTTTCTTATACTATTGGATATACTTATACTATTGGATTATATTATTGGATAAAGAAGTGGTCATGTAGTCTATTATTAATGCTTCTGTGACATGTACACATGTATTCTTGGCAAGTGTGACAATGGAGAATCTTCCTCTACCAAAGCTCAGATTTGAGAACAAAATCCTCTATTAACGCCCACAAGTAGAATGTGAAGATGCAACTGCATAACAATCGTCTTCCCCCAAGCAAACCAAAAAGTCACCATTATCAGCTCTATAGAGGAAGAGGAACATGTCTGAAGAGTAAGTTTAAAACAAGTGAAGAAGAAAGGACTGAAGAGCCAGAAAAGAAGGAAGCTTAACAGAGAAGTTAGAACAGGGAAGGAAAACTGATCATGAAATCAAGATAACCCATCCTCACCCCCAATGAAATCACACACAGTAGGTGTTTCAGGGTTTGTGTTTCAAGGTTCAGCCACCTGGATGTATTCTGGAGGCACCTTCAGAATGTATTGGTTTGGATCTGCTGCACAAGAGTGGTTACTATGGCAGTCCATACACCTTCCTACATGCTGAGCCCTTCTTAAATCAGCACTTCAAGAATGTTAAGAGTTACACCACAGTGTCGTGGTTTAAACCCAGTCAGGTAATTCGTTCGCTCACTTCCCTCCCTTTTCTTGCCCTCCCCCTGCTCGCGGAGGGACGGAGAGGAAAATCGAAAAGAATGCAACTCCCACAGGTTGAGATAAGAACAGTTTAGTAACTAAGGTATAACACAGATCACTACTGCTACCACCAATGATAATAATGATACAGGAAATAACAAGGGAAGAGAATACAACACCTCACCACCAGCCGACCGATGCCCCCCAGCCCGACCAAGCTCAGACCGATACCTCCTCCAACCCTGCAGTCTCCCAGCCCTTCCGGCTAACTCCCGGTTACATCCTGGGCATGACGTGCTGTGGTATGGAATACTTCTTTGGTCAGTTTGGGTCAGGTGTCCTGTCTCTGCTTCCTCCCGGCTTCCCCTCCTCCTTGGCAGAGCATGAGGCTCACAAAGTCCTTGGCCAAACCAAAACATCGCTTGTTATCAGCTCTGTTCCCGAGCTGAAAGTCAAAACATTGCACTACACCAGCTACCAAGAAGGGGAAAAATGACTGCTACTGCTGAACCCAGGACACACAGTTTTGTAAAAAAAATCCATAATATAATCTTCACCTTGTATTGTATCTTCAATTCTGGTTACTCCATTTGAGAGGCTACCAGAGTGCTACAGGCCATTAGGGGGAGTATCATCTACAGTCTTTAGTCCCACACTTTCTGTACCATTATAGAACAATGCATTCAGACATACTGAATCTTTAGGTAACTATTGTATGGCATGTACATTACACAGCATTTAACAGGACGGACAGGAGGCTTTTACAAGCAAGTCAGGGAAGTTACAAGATGCAAGGTATTTAGGCTGGGGTTCCATGGCAGCTTAAGCAAGTCTAACTGCTGGCTCTTTTGTTCCTATTGTTCTGACCCTCCTAACCCTAACCCTCTCTAGCACCCATCTGACCTTCTGTGAAGCCACTTCAGCACAGAGCCAGGCAGAATAACCAAACTGGCAGCTCTCCAGAACATTAAGGACTTCTCTGACGCACTGTACATCCAAAAGGTTCAGCTGAGGCTCTGAGGCACACTGGAATCAGGGTAACAGAAGCAACAGGGACCAGCAACCAGCTGTTATATTGACCATGGAATCCTAGGCCTTGCAGTTTCATTAGATGATCAATGATGCTGCAGTGGTTAAGAAGCTATTTGCAAAGCAGCTGTTTGCTCTGTTAAAACATGGCTGGTTCTCTGCATGTTTAAATATAGTCATGTTATGTGGGTCTGCTGTGTGACCAACACAGAGGAAAAGCTTGCCTCTGGGCACAAACAAATAATCCCTAGTGAATCTTGTTCATAGGCCAGCACCACCACAGCCAATGTGTTTAATAAAAAAACACAGCTGTCAATCACTCACTGAGAAGGTCAGTTTCCTTCCTGCCCCCAGATTTAAAACGTATCCTTTATGGCAGTTTGCAGTAAGACACTTTCACAGGAACACATTTAAGGCATTAGTTCACCCTCTTGCCTGCTGACTCCAGAAAAGAGCAGATGCCTTTGGGAGGTAGCATCTTTAAGCCACACACAGTTTGCCAGAGCTCATTTGTCAGAGCCCTGAGGCAAGCCTTTCATCTTTCAGCCACATAATGATAGCAGAACTGTATTATAGATGGCTGTCTTTACATGCATGAGCAACCCAGTTAAAATATGTATTTCTGCTAGCCAATGCAAGAAGCAAATTCCTACCTGCTCACTATCAGCCAGTAAAGCTATTCAGTAGGTGTCCAGACAACTCAGCCTCCTCTCCAAGAAGCTCTAGAATCTTGCTGTAAACACATGCCTGTACTCAGGAAGATTCTGCTCAGTAGCAGCAGAACAATACAGACTAGTCCTTTTATGAACAGATACCACTTCTTCTAGACAAAACATGAACCCAACATGCAAACAGAACTTCAAAGAAAATAAAAACACAAAACTCAATCTCTCCCAGACCTCTCGGTACAACTGGTGGTTTAAGTTCTAATAAAATGACTAAAAACTGCCACAAAAAAGGAGGCAAAGAATGTGAGCACAAAATCAAAACTTGCTACAAAAACAAAGCAAAACATCTACAGAGCTGATCTTAATTTAAATAGAAAACACTTTCATAAACACCAACATTAAGAGAAGCACCATACTCTTCAGTTTTATAACACTGACATTCACACTTCCTGTATGAGGAGTACTTACAGGCTGAGTACAATGCTATTAGACTATTTCCACCTAAGATCACTCAGAAATTGCACTCATTACTTAAGATACTTCTAGAAGGTCAGAAAGTAATTGCGTTCCCATTAGAGGACTCACACCTATAACTAGCTTTGGCACAGAAAATAAGCACTGCCTTCACCAGAAGCAAAGATTGTTCAACAATAGGGCCTGTACTTGCACGAAGGCAGTTAACTCTGCTATCATCCTGTGACCATGGTTTTATTTGCTCAGTTTCCACAGGCATGGTCCACTTTAAGCCCACATTCTCTTGGGAGCATTTAGGCTGTTAAAGCAGTTGCAGGACCTACATAAGCTTGCATAATCAGCAGGGCTTAGCAAGCTACCATGTTTTGTATTTTGCTGAGTAACTAATCTCCCGCTGAAATACTGTGGCATCATTCTCATCTTTAAACTAACAATTCTATAAACTCAAAAGTCCACACCTGCCTTCAGCACATAGCAACTCAGCCCAGCAGAAAGGTGGGTAGGTTCATCTGGAAGCCTGTCTTTTACTTATGGTAAAAGTAGTAAGAGATGAAAGGCGTGTTTTTGTCATCCCCAGCAACAAAGACAATTCAACTGTAGATTGTATTTAAACTTTGAACTCTCAAAGCCTTTATAAAAGATAAAATCTTCATAAACAAACATTTGTATTGAGTCATGCATCATCTACCTTTAAAGTGGTATCAGCTTTTCAGAACTGACACCCCATGTCTTGAGAAGTAATCATTAATAACTTGAGTAAAAAACTAGGATTAG